GTAAATCTTGGTGATGAGATACTGTGAGGGTAAATCTTGGTGATGAGATACTGGTGAGGGTAAATCTTGGTGATGAGATACTGTGAGGGTAAATCTTGGTGATGAGACACTGGTGAGGGTAAATCTTGGTGATGAGATTATGGTGAGGGTAAATCTTGGTGATGAGATTCTGGTGAGGGTAAATCTTGGTGATGAGATACTGTGAGGGTAAATCTTGGTGATGAGATACTGGTGAGAGTAAATCTTGGTGATGAGACACTGGTGAGGGTAAATCTTGGTGATGAGACACTGGTGAGGGTAAATCTTGGTGATGAGATACTGTGAGGGTAAATCTTGGTGATGAGACACTGGTGAGGGTAAATCTTGGTGATGAGATTCTGGTGAGGGTAAATCTTGGTGATGAGATTCTGGTGAGGGTAAATCTTGGTGATGAGATACTGTGAGGGTAAATCTTGGTGATGAGATACTGGTGAGAGTAAATCTTGGTGATGAGATTCTAGTGAGGGTAAATCTTGGTGATGAGACACTGGTGAGGGTAAATCTTGGTGATGAGATTCTGGTGAGGGTAAATCTTGGTGATGAGATACTGGTGAGGGTAAATCTTGGTGATGAGATTCTGGTGAGGGTAAATCTTGGTGATGAGATACTGTGAGGGTAAATCTTGGTGATGAGACACTGGTGAGGGTAAATCTTGGTGATGAGATTCTGGTGAGGGTAAATCTTGGTGATGAGATACTGGTGAGTGTAAATCTTGGTGATGAGATTCTGGTGAGGGTAAATCTTTGTGATGAGAAACTGTGAGGGTAAATCTTGGTGATGAGATACTGGTGAGGGTTCATCTTGGTGATGAGATGCTGGTGATGGTAAATCTTGGTGATGAGACACTGGTGAGGGTAAATCTTGGTGATGAGATACTGGTGAGGGTTCATCTTGGTGATGAGATACTGGTGATGGTAATTCTTGGTGATGAAACACTGGTGAGGGTAAATCTTGGTGATGAGATACTGGTGAGGGTTCATCTTGGTGATGAGATACTGGTGATGGTAAATCTTGGTGATGAGACACTTGTGAGGGTAAATCTTGGTGATGAGACACTGGTGAGGGCAAATCTTGGTGATGAGACACTGGTGAGGGTAAATCTCGGTGATGAGACACTGGTGAGGGTAAATCTTGGTGATGAGATACTGGTGATGGTAAATCTTGGTGATGAGACACTGGTGAGGGTAAATCTTGGTGATGAGACACTGGTGAAGGTAAATCTTGGTGATGAGATACTGGTGAGGGTAAATCTTGGTGATGAGATACTGGTAAGGGTACATCTTGGTGATGAGATACTGGTGAGGGTAAATCTTGGTGATGAGACACTGGTGATGGTAAATCTTGGTGATGAGATACTGGTGAGGGTAAATCTTGGTGATGAGATACTGGTGAGGGTAAATCTTGGTGATGAGACACTGGTGATGGTAAATCTTGGTGATGAGATGCTGGTGAGGGTAAATCTTGGTGATGAGATGCTGGTGAGGGTAAATCTTGGTGATGAGATACTGGTGAGGGTAAATCTTGGTGATGAGACACTGGTGAGGGTAAATCTTGGTGATGAGACACTGGTGAGGGTAAATCTTGGTGATGAGATACTGGTGATGGTAAATCTTGGTGATGAGACACTGGTGAGGATAAATCTTGGTGATGAGACACTGGTGAAGGTAAATCTTGGTGATGAGATACTGGTGAGGGTAAATCTTGGTGATGAGATACTGGTGAGGGTTCATCTTGGTGATGAGATACTGGTGATGGTAAATCTTGGTGATGAAACACTGGTGAGGGTAAATCTTGGTGATGAGATACTGGTGAGGGTTCATCTTGGTGATGAGATACTGGTGATGGTAAATCTTGGTGATGAGACACTGGTGAGGGTAAATCTTGGTGATGAGACACTGGTGAGGGCAAATCTTGGTGATGAGACACTGGTGAGGGTAAATCTTGGTGATGAGACACTGGCGAGGGTAAATCTTGGTGATGAGATACTGGTGATGGTAAATCTTGGTGATGAGACACTGGTGAGGGTAAATCTTGGT